CTCCTAGGCACCTAATCATTTTTATTCCTCTGTGCTGGACTCTTTCCAAATTGTCCACATTCTTCTTGATGTGTGGAGTCCAGAGCTGGACCCACTACTCTAGCTGAGGCCTCACCAGTGCTGAATATGCTCTAAGGGCATCATTCTAACTGGCACCTCACACACATTACTGACAGTGTTGCATAAATACAAATCAGAAGTTCTCCTATAACAAAATGCAATGAGAAGAGTATCTCTGTGGAAAAGAAAAAGAATGGATGAAGCAAGGTTGTCTGCTGAGCTATGCTCCCAACTGGGTGATCTAGACTTTATTTAAGGGTTTTTTTAAAAAAATACCATCTGAACACTCCCTCCAATAACTTCTTAATGAAGCTACAGAATTGGATAGCAGAGATGAAGATATTCCTTGGAGAATCTCTGCCACTGTACCTAGCAGTTATAGTGCTGAAATCATGAAGAACTGGGCTAGATGACAGAATCTTAAAGCTAGTGTAGGGAGCAGTGTCAAGGTGACAAAAAATAATGCAGAGGAGGTGACAGTGGCCAGGTTCCCTTTTCTGCAAAAAAAACAACCAACCACACTAACAAAAAAATCATGGATAGCTGAGTTCACTAAGAACAGGGTTAGGAGGGTGAGCTTAGATTCGGCGCTGTAGTTGAGATGCAGTGATAAAGCACAGTGTGTTGATGGGAGATGGTTACCCAGCAAATTCTATTGCAGTAGTCACTGATAGTTGGGCTAAGTAGTGGTTCTACACATGCCTGGATTGGGTGGGGGACAGACAGAGCAGTGAGAGGAGACACAAAGACAGAATGGCAAGACACTGTGGCAATGTAGCTGGAGGTGACACTGCAGAGGCAGCAGAGCAGCAGGAGTAAGAGGGCACAGAGACAACATATATGTGGCAGCAAGGCACTCCATCACTGAAGCCATGCAACATTTATCTCCAGTGTCTCCCCCACACTCTGGGACTTTGGTAGTCTCTTATAATGATCTGAAAGTAGGATCCAGTGGTGTGAAGGGGGAAGAGACTTATCTACTGGATGGTCATACTGACAAGTGAGGAAACTGAATTAAAGGTCTACTGGCCTGGTTAAAAGCAGGGTGGATGACTTTGCCTTCCCAAATTTATGCTGGGTTCCCTCTCTTTAGTAATGGCCTTGCTTTGTTTTAAATACAGAATTAACACCTATAATTAACAAACATAAGGTATGAAGAGCACCCAGAGAAGATACTTGGTTCATAGATTTCATAGACATTACTACTGAAAGGGACCTCGGAAGATCATTGAGTACAGCCCCCTGCCCCAGGGCAGGAAGTCAGCTAGGGTCAAAGGATCCCACCAAGATAGGCATCCAAATGTTTCTTAAAAGAGTCCACAGTGGGTGCTTGCACCACCACTGGAGGGATCTATTCCAGGTGTTGGTGCCTCAGACAGAAAATAAGTTTTTCCTTATGTCCAGCCTAAAACAGTCTTGGAGGAGTTTGTGACCATGTCATCCCTTGGGGTGCCCTGGTGAACAGACATTCCCTCAGATCCTGATGTACACCCCTTCTATACTTATAGGCCAGGTCACTCCTAAGCCTGCGCTTTTCCAGGCTGAAGAGTCCTATGGCTCTCAGCCTCTCATCATAAGGCCTGTTCTCTTGTCCTTTGATCATGCACATGACTCTCCTCTGGACTCTCTCAAGCTTTTGAGAAGGCCACACTGGCCTTCTTCCAATCTTTGAGTACTTCATCTGAGCACCATGAGTTCTTGAAGATCCGTGCCAGTGCCTGGGCTATGATGCCTGCCAGCTCCTTAAGTACCCTGGGGTGCAAACTGTCAGGACCAGCTGACTTGAAGGTGTCCAGATTCTCAAGGTGTTTACAAGGTCCACACTGAAGCTGGGTATAAATTCACCCTCACCCTGGCCGTCCCACATCATGTTAAGCAGGGTGGTCCCTTTGGGCTGGTGAAAAACTGATACAAAATACCCATTAAGCAGGTTGGCTTTTTCCTCAGTGTCGGTTGTCAGTTGTCCCATCTGGGGCAGGGGTCCAAGCTGGGGTCCAATGTTACCTTTGCTTTTCTTCCAACTCCCCACGTACCTGAAAAGGACCTTTTATTGTCCTTGATATGTGTAGCTAGTTGGAGTTTGGTTGCAGCCTTGGCTTTCCTGGTTCGCTCCCTACAGGTCTGGACCAGTGCAGAATACTTCTCCTTAGTGGTTATTCCTGTCTTCCATCCTTTAGAAGCCTCTCTTTTCAGATGCAGGAGATCCATGAGTTCCTTACTGAGCCAAGGGGGTTGCTGTGCTCTTTTGCTACCTTTCCTCTGAGGTGGGATGGACATCCTTTGTGCTTTCAGGATCACTCTCTTAAGGAGCAACCACTCATCCTGAACTCACCTCCCTGTTGAGTTATGGTCCCTTAGGGCCTTGACAACAAGCCTCCTGAGTTTATTAAAGTCAGCTTTTCTAAAGTTGAGGACTTCTGCATTGCTGACTGACTTGCCAGCTTTGCAATGGATAGTGAAAGTGATCAGCTTGTGGTCACTGTCTCCTAGATTTCCTTCCATTCTTAGATAGCTGACTAGATCATCCCCATTGGCCAGTACCAGGTTCAGCAGTGCTTTACCTCTTGTTGGTGCATAGATTTCTTGAGTCAGGTAGAGCTCGTCCACACACGTGAGGAAGCTTTGAGGAAGTTGAAGTTTGTCAAGGACAGGTTTCTATGTTGGGAATTGAGACAATTTTGCTTTGTAAATTTAGCACCAATTCGAAATGTTGAACTCAGCCCTTCTTCCTGCTGACAAAACCTGGCAGAAGGGTTACAGTTTGATTAATCAAAGTTCACCACATCATAATATTGCACTGGGAAGGTAGATGATTTGCAGCAGCAGTTACACTGTGACACGCTGAGCTGCATCACACAATGTGATGAAGTTTTGATGTAGCATAATGATGATTAACACAGCAATGTTGCCATGACTTATTTTTTTCTGCTACTAGAACATTCTGTAAAGCTGACTTCCCTAATGAAAATACCTCTGTCAAATTCCTACTCTCAAATGACTAATCAGCCTTGAACTACTATGGTTGTTAATCATACGGGAAGGATTGAATGTCTTTGCAAAGATGCAAATATGGGCACCTGGAAGAAGTCGTGTGAACTCTTCACAGATGGCACATAGAGGAATAGCTACACTAAGCAGATACATGAGGTATGGGAAAATGAGACGGGTGGCATCTGGCACCATGAGAGGAAGACTCCTTCCTTCTTGAGGATTTGGCATACTTCAGAATGGCAGGCCTTTTACAGCCAGCCTTAACTGCAGTGCTTGTGGACTTAAGTTGTGGTGGAAAAAGTGTCTCCCTCAGGGCTGCATTTTATAGCACGCTCTTTTAGTTTCATTGGAAGATAACGTTTGCTTTGCTCAGGAACAACATATAATAGCTGCAACTTTTGCAAACAAATGAGAGAGGAAACTATAATTGCTTCATTAGTTTACTGTCCTGCATAAAATATAAATTTCTAGGTTCTTAGGAAAGAAAAACATTGTATCTTAAATATTAAAAAGCAATATAACATATCCTTTGTCATGGCAGGTTCAAAAGTGGTATCCCTTAAATATTTCAGGATTCAATGGCTAAACTACATCCACTGAAGGGCACCATCAGGGTACAGTGGAGATAATGGGCTGAATTTATCATTGATATAACACCGTTATTTATGGGGGAGTTGATATATTGTTTCGCTGACAGCTGCATCATACTGTACCATCAGATTCAGGCAAAAGCTTCCCATTGACTTGGATGGGAGCCACATATAGTCAATCCAAGAATCTAACAAACTTATCAGGACTGTGTGTGATGTGCCTATAATCCTCTGGGAGGTAGTTATACTTTTTTAGTTACAGCAGAGGAAGGTTCCCAATTGGTGCAAAGTAATATAACCTCAATGAAGTCCACTGAAATTCTCTTTGAGAACTCATGGAGTTGGATGAATTCCTGATCAGGGAGAAAAAGGCAAATATGGTGCCTATCTTTAAGAATGGAAAGGAGAAGGATCCAGGGAATTATGACAGCTCAACCTGACCTCAGTACCTGGAAAGATTATGGAGCATGTCATCAAGCACTGAGAGGATACCAAAATGACCCGGAACAGCCAACATGGAGTTATCAAGAGTTATCATCCTTGACCAACCTGATTTCTTTTTATGACAAGGTGATGGGTGGAGAGGAACAGATGTGATCATCTCAGTTTCAGCAAGGCATTTGATGCCATCTCCCATGACAATATCATCAGTAAACTAAGGAACTACAGTTTGGGTGAGAGTATTGTACAGTGGATGCATAACTAATTGGATCATCATTATCAAAGAATAATTATTGATTGCTCAATGTCTAATTGGGAAGAGATATTGAATTGGTGTCCCCAGGCATCTGTCCTGGGAATGAAGTATTGTTTATTATTTTCATTAATGATTTGGATGATGGGATTGAGTGTGTGCTTAGTATATTTGCAGATGACACCATACTGGGTGGAATTTAGACACTCTGGAGGACAGGAGTAGGATTCAAGTGACCTTGATAAATGAGAAATGGTTAAAAGTTAATTGAATGAAATTCAATAGGGACAAGTATGAAGTCTTGCATTTAGGATGGAACAACCATACCCAAAAATACAGATTAGGGGACAACTAGCTAGGCTGCACTACTGCAGAAAAGGAGCTGGGGGATATAATAGACCATAAGCCCAATAGGAGTCAAGAGTATACTTTTGTTGTACAACAGGCCAATGGGATACTAGGTTATATTAACAGGACTGTTGCCTGCAAGTCAATGAAAGAGATGTTTCTACTCTTGAGGACCTCTTGATGTTCCCTCCTGCTCTATTTTTCTATGATGATTTGGGGAAGCTGAGAATCTGGTCTAGAAAGTTGGTAAGAAAACAAAGAATTGGAGAGGCACAGCAGTCACTTTCAACAGCACTGCAGATTAGTCCCATACTTACATCCTGATTAGACATCTCCCAATATGGTCTCTCTCCATAGGACATCACTTCCCACATGACAATACCATAGCTCCATGCATCACTTGCTGAAGAGAATTTCCTATAAGCTATTGCTTCAGGTGCTGTCCACCGTATGGGGATTTTTCCACCCTGGAAAACAAGTTGGAAATTCCTCAGTATGACTAGAATAAAGAACTTTAAGTACATAAAAAGCTGTAGATTCAACATTCTGCTGTCTGTGAAACAGACTGCCAATTACCAATTTGCTTTGGCAATTTACTGTAAATGGAAAGGAAGAAATATGGTTTATTCACATCCTGACAGAAATTCAGCTTTTTTTGTTGTTGCAGTTATTCACTAAAATATCCCTGTTTGAAAAAATGTTGCACTTCAAAGAACAAAAATCATTTTTAGTCATTAGAATTCATTCATATTCTTTCAGATTCACTTAATTAATTAATTGATCAATCAGGACATGTCTTTTGATTTGAAAATGTCCCCAACATGACATTCCTAATAAGCTGACATTTTAAACCAAAGCCCCCACTGAAACAGGAAAGCAGTGATCACTATAGACATAGAACACAAAAGGCACTTTATAAAATGTATTAAATAGAAAGAAAATGATTTCCTTTACATTCTCCTTTCTCTGTGATAATTTCTTTTTCTTTTAATCTCTTCCTTTAAATCCCTAGATATTGTGCAAATCAAATGCATCTAGAATAGACATTTCCTCAGGGAATTGGATAGTTTTGTTCTGCAGCTTTCAAGTTAAAATCCACTGTAAAATCCAAGATAAAGTTCTACAGTAAAAAAGGCATTTGTAAGAATTCAGTGAACATAGTTGATTTACCTCTTTTGAAGAGGCTTTCTGTATGGTATTACTGCCTTTCCACAATATAATCAGTTATATTTTACCTCCAATGTTTGTATCAGAGAAATTCTTTTGCCTGTGTAAAAGTAAAATGATTTTTCACCTGCTGCCGCCTTCCACAGAAAAGGATATGTTGTTTTTACTGCTTGTTCTAGCTTTTTTCTCTTAAAATAATTCAGCTTACTGATTCAGAGCAGTGAGATCATAGTGCCACTAGATGGTAGAATGAGACAGTCAGCTGAGCTGTGAAAACTAAGAATGTTTTTTCAGTGGACAGATAATGAATCCGTTTGGTATAACTATTACATTCCTGGCAGAAAGAAAAGAAAAAATAAACTGGAACATAACTATATGAGTTGAAAAAGTCAAGTAGTTAAAAAATAAAGAGGCAAATTTGTGTCCTTAACTCACTTTGAAATAGGTGAATTTTTTTTCCATATCTCATCAAGGTGATGTGAGTTTAAAATGCCATAGCTACATCAGAAAGTGTTGCAAGGAAAAGAAATTATCGATTTGGGTACTGTACTTTAATGTTATCTTAGTACATACCTTTATTAACTGGAGCCATTAGGGCCAGCAAGGACAGAAAGTTAATATCTTTATGGTTTATAAATGATTGTGGTCAATATGTCCTTCATGGGATACAAAAGATATAAGTATAAATATAAATCTTCTGTATTTATTTCCTGTTTTCTAAAAAGCCTTTGCCTGTTCAGATTTGGCTTGACTATCTCCACTGAAATCAAAGGCAAAATTCCAGTTTGCTTTTAGAGAAGCAGAGTTAGCCCAAACAAATTGCTTTTTGAAAATACCATCCTTAATTTGCTCTATTTATAGCTATATTGGGCACGTACCTATGTTGCAACAGAATCCCTTCTGGGAAGGGATTATATGCCTTCATTGCAGGCAAGTAGAGAGAAGCCAGAACTATGGCTTTGTGTCATCCTTGCCCTGTTCAGCGGATTTGAGACAACGTGGGAGGCTAGAAGTAATTTTCTTCTGGTCCTTGCAAGGGCTGAGCAAAGGGTTTTCTCCAACCACGTCATAGGATCAGTGCTTTTCAGATCCCTGGCTTCATACCACACAGAAACCTAGGATGCCCTTATCTCTTGTTTTCCCTCAGTCCTGTCCTGGGCATCCTGTTTATTTGGTCAAATTAATATTTTTGTCTTCTTTCAGTGTGACACCCAGAAAAGATGTTTAAAACAGGACTTTCTCAGTGAAAACAGGACTGTTTCACCCCCAAATCTCTGGCTCTATTCCTCCCATCTTTCACTCCACAACATGCTCAGCTGAAACTGGAGGTTGGAGATAACTGAGTTATCAGAAAGTGGGGTATCCTCTTTTGAAACAAGGGAGAGCCCCCCCCCCCCCCGAAGGTCCATTAAATAAGTTAATACATTTGGCAACTGAATGGAATACAATGCAGGGTATCCCATGCCTACCTGAATACCTGAAGCTACATAGTGTAAGGGATTTGATCAGGGTTCCAGGAAAACTATGCTAAAACAGGCAGAGGTTATCACAAAGCATGATACTTTGCATAGAGGGTGGTAGCCCTATATAAGGCTTTTTGTGCCTGTCTGGCAGCTGTCACCTCTGAGGGTAAGAAGTCTCATCATTTTGTCAGGATAGCCAATTATGTGAAGGAAGATTGGTAGGACAGGAAACAGTTTATGAACAGTTTAATGGGATTACAGTCTGACAGTCCAACTGGATGCTAGGCTCAGAGTTTCAGGTATTGTGAACTGCCTAAGGGGGAATCCATTATAGAGCCTATTACAAGGGGAACTGGGGGGCCCAGAAGTGACCTGAAGCGTGGACAGCACAGGCTGTGTCAAGAGGTATTTGTTCTGAGGGGTTGTTTTCTAATATTGGAGTGAGGTACAGTATTTAGATATAAATGGGTTTATTTTTGCTATGACAATGCAAATCATTTACATTATTAATCAACAGCCAGTAATGCTGGGACAGGTGATGCAGCTGGTTAAAAGCATTTGTATTTCAGTGCCTTTTATTTAACATGCTGTACTTTTCCATGCAGTACACATGCCTGGTATAGATTATGGAACTACTGGTACCCCCTCAGGAAGCAGGTTCTGGGAGCTGGGTCTGTTTGGTAGCTGAGATCCTTAAGTGATGCTTTTATGTTTGTGGAGGTATAAAACAAGGTTTTAGCATTTACAGGAAATGTCGTTGCTCCATTTCAGATTTTCAAGGACAGTTTTGTCAACTTCATAGAATTAAGAGGTAAGGAAGGTCTCCAGAATATTTAATTTAGCCCTGAAATTTAGAGGCTGATAGGCAGTGATCAGGTGCATCATGGATTAGCTTCATTCATAGTAGATCAGATCACACTACTGGTCTGTCATTTTGTTGCAGGCTGGCAAGATTGGCTGCCCCATATAGAGGATTCTGGTTAAGGAAGTTTTTGGATAGATGAAGTAGAGGTAAGGGCTGCAAGAACGAGAGTGGACACCTTATGGCTATACAGATTTTATTAACCAGAAGTTTGTGAAGTTGTGGATATAAAAAGTTGTGTTCTAAACATCATTTACCATGACCTCTTTCCATTCTTTCATCATTACTGAGTTTGTGTCTACAGGTGGCAAGGGAAAGCTTCAGGTATGCTCTGGAACTGACAGATGTATGTTTAAGCAAATAAAAGTGTCCTTGGGACTAATGGATTAACAATCTGATTAAACTGGAAAAGAGGCCATGGCAGAGCTAAGAAAATGCTCAGAGAATTATTGGGTAGATCCAGTAAGAGCTATCAAAGGTCCATCAGCTATTTGAATGTGGGAGCCAGGCTTACCCTGCTTGACTCTCAGTCTGGTAAACTCTGGCATCCATTCTTTGAAAACAGCTGCAGCAAGGGAATATTCAGCTCCCAGAGTGCTACCAGAAACCTGGGCTCCAGAAATCAGAATATAACAGAACCCATTTTCATCCCGTTGATCAGTTACTGGAGCAGACAAAGAGCTGAGTTAACTTTATCTGCCTAGCTCACAGGGGACATTAAAGACAAGGTCAATATCTGGATCTGTAGGCATTCAACTGTACTGAGGACCCACAAGAGAGGTCAGACTGGCAAATGATTCATAGCTGAGTCTATCTGCCTTCAACTGTTGGCAGAAAGGGCATGCTGTGGGATTAGTTCATGCATTTTCTACAGTCATTGTGGGGCAAACCAGAAATACCTATTATTTCGGTTTTTCACTTAGAGGGAAGTGATCTGGGGGCCTGCACTTGGATACAATTCAGAGTCAGGTTTAGGAGGAAAATGGCTGGATTAGGCAGCCATGGCTGAACACATGACTGGTTCAGTCAGAAATACTTGTGAAGTGGTGCCAAGGGTGTACTATCAAGCCAGCCTATGATCTGACAATTAGATATAGCATATCTAATGTTAGTTATAACATATTCTTTCATATGAAACTATCAACAGAACTATTTGTTTAAGTTGAATGAATACAACACATTTATTCATTACATTTTGATCTGTTTATCAATATGGGCACATGTCCCAAAATGTACTCTGAATACTGTCACTTTGAATGGCTTTTATAACTAAATTTGATTCTTCACATAACTGATTTTTAGAGAATCTGATCAGATTATGAGAACTAGCTTCATCATACAGTTTTACTGACTGGTCCCTCTCAGACTGAACCAATAATGGCTCATTGAGTGTGAAATGAGAATGAGGAACAGTCTAAACAAAATTCATGGAAGTGCATGTCCCCTCGCATATAATGTGCTCGGTATTGTAATGCAAAAGAATCTCTTGTGTTACCCCAATGACAAATTAAATGAAAAACCACTTAAATTTACACAGGGGCTCATTTTATATATAAAGGCATCATATGCATAAAATGGAGATGTCAAGGTTTATTTGTGTTTGCAGAATATCTTTTTATGCAAAAAGTGCTGTTGTTGGGGTGGGTTTTTTTTGGAGCAGGGGTGGGGGGAAAGCCATCTGAAAGCTATGCTTTCAATATGACCAACAGTAAAGACAGATACAACTAAAATGTAGTAATAGATGCTTATGCATAAGAGAAGAGTTAGGATAGCGAAAATTATACTATCAGTTTTGGATGACACTAATAAACATCACTGTTGCTAATGGGGACTTCTTTTCAGTTTTGGCTTAACAGAAAAAAAGATCAAATACAATACTGCACACAGATGACCCTACCTTCAAATAAAAATAATTTAGAAATTATCTAACTTAAACTATTCCAAGAGATTAATCAAAACTATTACCATTTTCTAA